ATATTTATCATTCTTGACCATCAAAAACACATACCAGCAGCCCAAATTAAATAAGACAATGATGCTACGTTTAACTTTCGTAAATCAGTAATTTTACACGACAGTGTATGATATTATTAATACTTTAGGGAAAAGGAAATAGTATTTACAAATRAAACAATTACAATTCAAAGGTTCTCGAAGCTCGAGACGAAAAACTCCACTCGTTGGACACAGAAATCTTGAATATGGGACAACAACAGGTGAAAGCCAATAAGCAAGTGGAGGATTTGAGAAAGACAAAAAAGAAAATGCAAGTCAAATGTGAAAAGCTGGAGAACATAGTGGATGATCAGAAGACTAAGCTGGTAAGCTAGCTTAGTTAACGGCTGTGTGTTACAACTGATTCTTAAATAAACTTCCAGAAAGAAAGAAAGGAAGGAAGGAAGGAAGGAATGAAGATGCAGTGCCAGTGTTTTTTTAATGTTGGTTTGTTCACAACGGATTTAGTTTGTTCGCCGCACTTTAGTATTTCCTACCTATATCGCCGTGCCCCCTTCCTATTCTACTAGACCCATTTTCTCAATGCTAAATTAAATGAATGCATTYCTTTAAGACAATGACAGAGAAGAAGATTGAAGAGCTTAGCAAAGTAGTCGAAGAATATAAACGTAGAGACAGTCTTGGACTCTYTGATGATTCAGAAGAAGAATCAGACCTTAGCAGYAGTACGTCTTCACCCTCGTTCGGTGACCTGTCGACAAAACGAAAARCACGGAAAAAGAAAAGAACAAAGGCTGAAAAAGCAGCACAAAAACGAAAGCAAAAAGAAATGAAGGGTGGTAAAAAGAAGTCTGAAAAATACGAGAAACGAGGGGCTCAGAAGTCTGATGAAGAAGAAAAAGTAGACTCTCAAGCGGATGTACGAAAAGAAGAAACAAAGTCAGAACAGATTGTGATAAGACCAGTCGATATTGAAAACTCAGAGATCTACCAAAACCTGAACGCAAAATTTAAACAAGTCTGCAATGAGCTCCATGTCGAGCGGGAAAAACTGGCTCAAACAGAGAAAGAGTTTGAAAAACTAAAGAAAAAAAAGATCAAATACATTCAAGAAAAGGTCGACCGAAAGATTGAAATGGAGCAACTGATTCGAAAGCAAGAAGTCGAAACAGAAGAACTACGAGATAAAATTGCAAACTTTGAAATGGAGACGAAGAAGCTGAAGAGTGAAGTTGAGAGCAATGAAGAAATGATTCAGTACCAGGAGAAGCGTATCACTCAATATACTGAAGAAATCCAACATTTAGAAGATCGGGTGATGGGCTCCTTACCAGAAACCCCGGCCATGAGTTCCAATAGCTTCGCGCAGACAGGAGCTAGTCGTCGTGGAAGAAGAACACTCGAGCCCCCGACCGCCCGCCAAATGATGACTAAAATAAAACAACAATATGAATCAGAGATACAGAGTCTGAAGGACTTCTTGGCCAAGGAAAATTATCGGTATCAAGCAGACTCAAGACGCAAAGAACAAGAACACAAGAGAGATATACAGAATATTCATAAAGAGTCGTTGCAGGTGTTGAGATGCATCAATCGATTCAAGGAAGGAGCAGCCAATCTATTAGACCGCGAAAGTAAGTCTAAACTTCTAAAGAGGATTTTATATGACATGTATGACGTGACCGTGTCACACGTTCCTTGATCATCCTTGATGTTCCGTGACCGTGTCGTGACCATATGGTCTTGATAATCAGAACCCCCCTCCCCCTCYAGGGGTACTAAGGGTACTAGGGGTGGTTCGTTGATAGTGATGTGTCGTTGAGGTCCGAACCCTGATCCTATCTAAGACGAGAATATCTTGTAAAAACATGAATTTTAACTCTGTTAAAAGATCTAACAGGACGATATGGTGAAAGTTACTCTCTAAAATTGTTTGACGGCGGGAAAAATCAGTTTCGACATAAAGTCAAAATTAAATGACTTTTCTAAGACTTGAAAACTCTAGGTATCGCTTACCTATCCAAGAATCATGGTCCTGTCCAAGACGATATTATGGAAATCGTATATCTTGTCTATGACCAAAATCCTGAAAAACCATACCCCATCAAGGGGAACATCCCTTCCCCCCACGGACCAGAACATAATGCGTTGTGATTGCATTACCAACTATGTTGTTTTTATTCATATTATATTTTTATTATATGTTTTTATTTCGTATGGTTTAAGTTGTATGTTTTTTTATGTTGTATGCCCGTTTTTTATGTGGTTTTTTTTTTTCATTAGACCTTTCTGCAGAGGCATATGCCATGAGGATGTTACCTCCACTAACAATGGATGAATCACCAGCAGAGATCAGACAAATGCTGGCTAAAATGGCTATCCTTTGTAATGAACTGCTCATCTCTATGGAGCTTCAGCTGTCCAAGGTATAATTACGCTTTGAAAGGTTGCATACACACGATCAGAACATTTCTTGTTGTGCTCTGCTCTTGTTCTTGAACTGCTCATCTCTATGGAGCTTTAGTTGTTCAAAATATAACTACGCTTTGAAAGGTTGTATACATACGATCAGGGCATTTCTTGTTCTAGATTAGAGAAAAGGTTGGGCGAACACTCGGGGGGGGGGGGGGGGAGGTACTACCACCCCAACTTGGGTAGGGGTGTGCCGCCAGGACCTCAAAACCCTGACCCTATCCCAGACCTAAAATTTTGAGTTTACGTACCCTACCCCAGACTAAAACTAAGAATTGTACACCCTATCCCAGACTAAAAGACGGAAAAACGGTTTTTCAATGTATTGCAATCAATATTTACTTACGTTTTTATTGTTTTTGTGCCGGCAGAAAGCGTAGCCTATTCGCCAGACAAAAATAACCAAATCGTTAACCCTATCCCAGACTAAAATGATACCCTATTCCAGACAAAATGTCAAAAAATKATACCCTACCCCAGACCCAAAAGCCGAAAAACCATACCCTATAGGGCGGCACATACCCGTATAGCAAATATAGGGGAGTACCCCCCTGGGGGCGAACACCGAATAAAATGCTAGTAATTGTTAGTTATTTCAAAGAGGATAAAGACGCATTAACCGTACGTTGTAACGTATTACAGCATGTCATACTCCAGAGGGGGAATAAAGGGGAACTAATACTCCAGATTCGAGTTCTCTGTTGCTCAGGGTTGGCCTTGACTTTGTGCAGAATATTGATATATTCCAGTAAAGATCCGTGGAATTTCAAAGTGTTTTGTTTGAAGCTGTGCATTCTTTACTTTACCGTTGGCATTTGTGAATATTTAGACACTAAAACAAGGCTTAGCCTGAGTAAATGAGTCTGTAATCAAGGAACACAGCGGTTATTTGGAACTCAAAACAGGTCTGTTGAAATGTTATCACCATCTTATTGCACACAAAATGATGTCATGTTGGAGAGGTGAGGGGTGGGTGGGGATATTAACACCGTAGTACTTCCTCAGTTAGATCAGTATCACATATCATGTTCCAGAAGGTAAGGTTGGAGGAGATTATGAGCACACCAAAAGCGTCTTGCTCTGAATGAAAGGATGACACTGATTGTCACCGAATGCCTTCGTGGTATTTCATGTTAATAGCTTAAGGTGTGGTCGAAGACAGTTGATTCCTTAAAAACTTTGGTCGAAGTAAGCAAACACACTTCAATATTGTTTCAGGCTTTGATGAGCAAGCGATTGGAGGTAAAAGACACATCCAACGCACGTACAATCTATCAGAAGAAACTGGAGAGTCAGGCAGCTGCTCTTCGTAAAGCCAAAGATGTGGGCGCCCGGCAGGCCCACAAGCTGAAGACTGCTAGAGAAGAGATGGTTGAGTATGAAGCTCAGGCATTTAGGTTTAAACTACRAGAGGTATGATTTTCCTCATAAAATAGAAACGATAGATTGATTATCATGTAAAGGCAAATACCTTTTGAGACATGATCATATCCTACGCAAAATCGAGGTTACCCTAATCTAAAAGAAATCCTACCAATAGACCGATCCCGTCTATGCTTGATTGTCCACACGCCCACCGACCCAAGCAATGGGTAGTTTTCCCAATGGAATACAGAATATCTGACCAATAAACTCGAATTCATATATTTTTTAGTAGTTATCGATTCTGTTCTTAATGCACCTTTAGATTAGTGCATTGATTCTAGCAAAGACATTAACAGTTTTCAGCAATCGGTGTCTGTTCCTGGTTGTAGATCAAAAACATATTTTAGCTTGTCCGACGTAGCAACAGTAACTAGGCAGGTAGAAGTAGAGTAATGAATCGGTGTATTTTATCTATACCTAAAGACAACCGATTGGGATCTAGCGTGTTAGGTTTTGGGGGAAAATGAAAACCGAAAAACCCGGAGAAAAACCTTGAATCAAGGATGAGATCTAAAACTCCAGCGCATGCGTTGCATGCTGATTCCAGAAAGTAATGTCCCGTCCACACGTATCCGGAAATTTTTGTATCCGCGAACTTTTTTTGCGGATACGAAAATGTTTGTGTCCACACGCAGCTCATTCGAATCGTTTTCCCTGTCCACAAGTATCCGGAAATTTCTTGATCCGCCCTGATGCACGCTAGTGCCTAGTCCCTTTGACGGATAGTTTTTCTTATTGAGCATGCGCAAAATCGTGTTTACGTCAGCGTATTCGAAAATTTGCGGATACGACCGTCCACACSTATCCGTATTCGGAACGTATTCGAAAATTTCCACTCTGGAGACCGTTTTCGAAAATTTCCGGATACGGATACAAAAATTTCCGGACACGTGTAGAAGCAACCCGTATCTGCAGAAAAAAAATTTGCGGATATAAAAATTTCCGGATACGTGTGGACGGGGACTGAAAGACGCCACTCACCCTTGTTTTTCTATTTCTGCACATGCTGTTCAATAATGGATATTTTTTGGTGAAACAGGGAGAAAAGAAAGAGGTATTGGAGGAGCGCTACAAGGAACTATACAGTGAATATATGGCGCTGAGAAAAGAAGGAATAGCAGCTCGTAAATTAGAAAGAACAGAACGAGAAAAAGACGAAGAGATCAACAGAAAAGAAGCACTCATCATGAAGCAGATGCGAAAGGAGAAGGCGTTACAACGAGCATTAGACGAACAAAGAAAGGTGTGGAATAAACTAAAGGCTTTGGAAGCATTGAATAGGATGTGACGTTGAAGGATCATGCAAAAATCTTCAAGTAGTATACTAGACAAGCAGAAGAGTATTTGTCTTTAATCAGAAGCTTTACAGCAATTTTCATAAACATGCGAAATCTACGAGCTGCACGCTGAAATTTGGTTTTTCGCTGCCGTCAATCAAACCTAATCAGTCAGTACCTTTCATATTTCCGAGCCCGTACCGCTTGGAACGAGTTGCATGATTGAATTAAAACACAATAGATTGGTCTTCCAAACAATAGCACTAAACCTAACCTTACAAAAGCGGTACTGTACTTAGAGGGCAATGAAAATCCAGCTTTCGAGCAGTACTGGATTACTCGAAAGGTGGTCATGTTCGTCATGACAAAAGACGCGCATAGCAATAGACTTTTCTTCCCCAGCGAAAAAGAATTCTTTCTCAGATTAGACCAGATTCTATAAATTGTTCCTGCTTCCTGTCATGGCTGCCATAACGTGATGGTGCAAAGCCTCTATATAGGCATCAAAAAGCCGTTAAGGGATTGTGGGAGATCCCTCGCGATGCGTATGCGGTAACCCAAATCGATTCACGCCTCATTAAGGCCTCAGCTTCGATATAGGTTACAGTACAAGCACGAAAAATGCAGACTTCCTGCTTTGACTAAGCCAACATAATCTAAAAACCATAACCATTTCTTTCCTTTTGCTTTAAATCTTCAGATAATAGCAAACCTAACATCAGCGTGGCAGATGAGACGTTTTGGCCAATACTACATCACAAAATCCGAACAGGTGCAAAATCTAGAGACACTCAAAGAAGCTTTGCACGATGATCGAATAAGAAGAGGATCATATGAGGTATTTATAGGCTTCCTACGGAGTATATGTATAAACTCTTGAGGAAGGGCTTCTAAGACTGTTTATTACGATGTATACCAAATGTTAGGGACCGATGCACAACCGAACAAGATGTTAGGGACTTTAACCTGGATCTATAGAGGACCCATGCTTCTGTTTTGGAGCGCAGCTCACGATCAACAGAGGATTGTTGATCTCGTTCCCAGGGCGTTTTTTTTCTAGTTAGCACGAGACGAACTTAGTTGCGGCAAACTTCACTTTTGTGCGCTGCATTTTTTTACTTTTTTACATATTGCATATTTAGGAACTTTGATAAAATCTTCAAACTGACTTCTGGCTGCTTGCGCTCGCATAAACAGTTCGACTGATACATTGAAATGGCTAAATATTTCAAAGCCTCGTTTAAGCTTATCAAGGGAAACGCAGTCTCTATGGGCTAAGGAGAGACAACGCGCGAAAAATGCCGGCTTTGAAAACCAAAACTTTTCTTAAATTTAACTTTAATTCAAAACTAGTTTGCATCTATTATATTTGACCAACTAGTTGGACTTGACTAAAACTATTAGACCTCTCTCGCCCTCATGGCTTATGAATCAATAGCCCATTCGGGCTTGAGGACTAATTGCTAAACTATAATAAGTATAATGAATTGTTTCATGTTATGAATTGTTTTACTAGATGACAACTAATCTTATCAAAGAAGCAATAGAACTGCCAAAGAGGCGCTTTATCGAGTTGGTTCAAAAATACTACCGTCAAGTGAAGTTGAAAGTAATGCAAGAACGAGTAAAGAGAGCGAGACTAGAGGAAAACCTGGGAGATAAATTTGTCTACATGTTGGAACGAAGGATACAAAAAGTAAGATYGTTTTTAATTTTTTTTCTTATCGTTTTTTAAAATCATAAATTACACAGTTTTGGCAGCCGTTCTTGAAAAAGTTCGAAATACAACCCAACGACTCTTATTTCCGAGTACGTTTCAATTAAAGTATACACTTTTTTTTAAAAAAAAGTCGGAGTCCAAAGAGATATAGATGATAGGAGAGAGGAAAGAG